ATATTTATATTTACATAATTGCAAATGTTGCGACAGTGCCACAGCACAGAGGTACAAAATGCTACAAGAGTTTAAACTAGAAAGATCTGCTGTCCTGGGAGAAATCTAGGAAGGGATCCCTGAAGAAATGTCTAGAGTCAAGATCCTAAGAATGCGTAGTCAGTAACTCGAGGAAAAGGAGAGTTCCATCATGGTTAATTTCACTTCAGTTCTTCTCTTTCCCTCTTACTCTCTTAATTCTTCCCCTCCGCCCTCGCCCACCATTGAATTTATCATTGTAGACTCTTCTTATATTTCTGACTACCTTCATATGCTGGCTTCTCATGAAATAAATTCTGCATAAATCTCAAGTACACCTAAGTCTTAATTTAGTCAAAGCTAATAAATCTATTAAAAATACCTGCATTAGTTTCAAACTAAGCATGAACCATCAAAGAGAAAAAAGTACAAAACTGTAGAATATTTAGAACATAAGTGGAAATACTCTTTCAACTTATTTATTTTTAATGGCTATGTGCTTAGGAAGGGCCACATGGGAAGTACTTATAAATGTTGATTGGTTGGCCAGTTGGCTGGTTAGTTATTTGGTTGTTTGGCTGACTGGAGACTACATGGCTGGCTGACTGGCTGCTTGATTGGGTGGTTAGTTGGTAGATAGAGATCAGTGTGATAATTTAGCTTTAGCTCCAAAGTCAGAATTAATGTTCTTCAGATTCTGACTCTATTATATTGGACAATCTACTTTAACTCTAAGGAGCACTGGTAGCATAGTGGGTTACTTGTTGAGCTACTAACTGCAGGTCAGCAGTTCAAATCTACCAGCTGCTCCAATGAAGAAAGATGAGACTTTCTGCTTCTGTAAAGATTTGTAGCCTTGGAAACCCTATACAAGGTCGCTATGAGTCAGAACTGACTCCACGGCACACAACCACCATCTCTCAAATTCTATAACTTTCAGTTCATTCTATAAAATAGTATCTTTCTTATATGATTGTTATAACAATAAAGGAGATGTTTATATAAAGGTTTAGCATACATCTACTATTTTGAAAAGGAAGAAAAAGAAGCTTGAGTGTTGTTTCTGAAAGGAACTAAATTAGTGGAAAGAGATGATTACTCTGCATTACAATGTTAGCACCATTGATTTTAGTCCTTTTAATATGTTTCATTGCTGAAAATATGTATTTATGGAAGACCAGAAGTACACATGCCGAGGAAGGAGATAACATATGTTCATATAGAAAACTCAGAGGCAGACTATTTTTTCCTTGACAGTTAAAATTCAATTTTCCGTCACCCTCCCCTTATTCCACTCTTCCTCATTCTCCACTTATTGAATGAATGCAGAGCTCATTAGGACAGTAATTTTCTCTATCAAAACAAAAGGACATGTTAGATTATCTCTTGTCACGGGAGGTGGTGGTTACATGGGTGCTTGCTTTATTACTCTGAACACATATGTTTTACGTATTTTTCTGCATGAAACTTATACATATACACAAAGACAGAATGGCATGTGAGAATGGAATGGGCTAGGGTAGCACAGACCAAATTTAATCCTAGATTGAATCTCTATAAGCAAAATAAAAGTAATATACAAGCAATTACACTTGCTTGTGAAAAAGAGGAGATGAAGTTGGTCTCACATACTCCAGATTGGCTATCTTCGTGACAGACCAAACCTCACTGCCCTTGAACTGATTCCCACTCAAAGTGATCCTATACGACAGAATAGAGCTGCTCCTTAAGGTTTCTGAGACTGTACATTTTTTGTGGGGAGCAGACAAGTCTCATCAAACCGTGGAGCGGTTGGTGGGTTTGAAACACCAACCTTGATGCTAACAGCCCGATGCTTAACCCTCTGTGTCACTAGGTCTCCTTCCATGCCACACAGTGAGTAGCTAATTATGAAACTTTTTTTTTTCTGAAGTCTATATGTCATATGTCACTTTCCTAACATGAGGCATGAAAAAGTTTTCTCTATGACCAAGCTCTTTGATAAGCCTCAATTCATAGAGGTAGTTTGAACAGGCACCACTGCCTCATCTCTTCCAGCCATCGTGGTGAACATTCGTGCCACCCGTGCATGATTTCAGAGACAGATGCTTAGGTTTATTAAATGACAGAAATAACGTCTAAAATTGTGCATCCTGATGACTAACAATCGCCTTTTGGTTTTTCAGCGCCGACTGGGAGATGCAGCAAAGAAAGCAATCAGCAAGCTCCAGGTCAGGACCATCAAGAAGGGGGACAAGGTAACATCCCTCCTTTCTTTGGTGGTGAGGAACTGTTCAAAGAAGCTCTCCATTTATCCAAAAGCTGGGGTAGAAGAGAAGGAAGGATGGAAAAGGAGAGTACATGCTAATAGTTGTCCTATAAGCATCTGTTGCTTACACCCTTCTTTATTAAATGCAACTTAAAGCAATTTATGGAATTCTGGTGTGAGCTAATGCCCTGGACTGTAAAGTTGGTTTGAACTGCATCTTTGGTTGTTCAAGCTCACCAGCCACTCCTTGGACCGTATACAGGGTCATTATGGGTCACAACTGACTCGACAGCACTTACCAACAATAACAACAGCAAAAACAATTTATAAAATGCATACAAAGGGACAATAAAATAGTTGGAAAGAAAAAAAAATAAGAAATTGAAGTGATGTTTAGAAAAAATGTGAAATTAGTACATTAGTACAATCAATAGTTTGCATAAATGCATTTATTGTTTTGAAGTGCCATTGAGTCAGTTCTGACTCATAGTGATCCTGTACAGAGTTTCTGAGGAGTGGCTGATGAGTTTGAACCATTGACCTTTACATTAAAACCGACCTATGGTTAAGTGCTTATCCTTCACTGTCACATACCTGAACTGTTATAGCAGAAATGGGCCCCAGTGTAAAGGAAACAATATTCAGTATTCAAACAATATGTAATAACTTTATTCCATTGCCTCAAAATGTAAAAGCAAAATGGTATGTTCCTGGCATTATGTCCTGAGAAAGTCTTCCTGTAAATTCTAACAAAGAAAGTAATGCTATATGCTGAGGAGCGTCCTCCACTTAAGTCGACAGTAAATGTGGGGAGCATATTCAGTTTCTCCCAAATCGGGAATTTAGAACCACAAAAATTACTGCAACAGCCTCCCTGGATAGATGGTATAAGATTAAAAAAAACTTGTTGTTGTTAGTTGATTCTGAATCATGGTGACCCTATGTGTTTCAGAATAAAGCTGCACTCCCTGATAGAGTTTTCAATGGATGTGATGTGTCGAAAGTAAGCTTCCAAGTTTCTCTTCTGAGCTGCCTGAGGGTGGATTCAAATCACTAACCTCTCCATTAGTAGACAAGCACGGTATTATGTGCACAACTCAGGGACACCCTCACTTATTTATTCCTCAGAGAAGTTGGAGAGTGGTGGCTGACAGTCCATGTGGGCTGTGGTCTTCTGGAGGCTTTATAAGGGATTCACAATTCTGCATATACACCAAGGGTCGTCCCTTGTCTGAATAACTCATTTGTCTTACCAATTATGTGCTACTGTTTTTCAACTGCATAAAAAATACTGATGGACCTCAAGAGTTTAAATTTATTTACAAGCATGACTGAATGTAAAGTATACTTTCTTATTAACCCTCCCCTTCCTTAATCAGAGACTAAAAGTACTGGAGCTCTGGTAACATAGTGGTTATGAATCAGGCTGCTAACCTCAGGTCTGCAGTTCAAGACTACCAGCCAACCTGAGGGACAAAGATGAGATTTTCTGCTACCATAAAGATTTACAGCCTTGGAACCCCTATGTAGGGTCGCTGTGAGTTGGAACTGACTCAGTAGCACACCACCATCACTGCACCACCAGCAAAAGTATAAGGACTACTAATAAGTAATAAATTTGAGAGTTTTGAAAGAAATTTATATACTTCGGAGGGGGTAATGGAATCACAATTTCAGAGTTTAATACAGGGCATTCCAAAGAAATGGATAGAATCAATATCATTTATCTTATTGTTGCTAAGTGCCTTTGACTATCTGGCCAGTTGATTGGAAGAGATCCATATTTGTGCCCATTCCAAAGAGAGTGACCCAATGGAATGCAGAAATCATTGGACAACATCATGTATCCCATATGAGTGAAGTTTTACTAAAGGTAATACAGAAATGGTTGCAACCATACATTGACAGAGAACTTCCAGAGGTTCTAGCCGGATTCAGAGGATGACATGGAATGAGGGATATCATTGCTGACGTCAGATGGATCTTGACAGAAAGCAGAGAATACCAGAAAGATGTTTATCTGTGCTTTATTGGCTACAGAAAGGCTTTCAAGTGTGTGGATCATGACAAGCTATGGACAACATTGTGATGTATGAGTATTCCAGAACACCTAATTGTGTTCATAAGGAACCTGTACATAGACTAAGAGGCAGTTGTTCAGACAGAACACAGAAACACTGGTTGGTTTAAAATTAGGAAAGTTGTGCGCCAGGGTCATATTCTTTCACCATACTTATCCAACCTGTATGCTGAGCAAATAATCTGAGAAGTTGGGTTATATGAACAAAAACATGGCATCAGGATTGAAGAAAGGCTCATTAACAACCTGCAATATGCAGATGATACAACATTGCTTGCTGAAAGTGAAGAGGACTTAAAACACATCTCAATGTAAAGAAAACAACAACCCTCACCCCGGGCCCAATAAGCAATGTTCTTTTTTTTAAGTTTTTATTGTGAATTGAGTGAAAGTTTACAGGGCAGATCATCAGTTTTACATTCAACAAATCTTACAATGATTATAATCCCCTCCATGTACCATCAGATAACAGTATTTGTCTCTATTCACTTTAGCTCCTTTTTTTTTAACACTCAGGCATATATATAATAATTTACACCACCAAAGGGCACATTTGGCAAGTCTGCCTCCTGGCTGCCAGCTGTTAGTCTCTCTCTTTCCATGAATCTAGAGTCCTCAACTGGTCTCCCTCTCTGCCTCCATCTCTGATGTCGCTGCTTCTCTGAATAAGGTCTCGAATTCCACTTGTTCTCTTCTCCCTTGATGGTCCTAGAGTCCTTTATTTCTGGATTGTAAGATTAACTATTCCTTCATTTTTGTTACAAAACTTCTACCTTTTCAATTGTGATAGTCACAATTAGTCATGATAACTATTACTCACTATTGAATCATAAGAATCTTATCCCCATCTCTTTTAACCAGACCCATCTAGTCAAGATGAAAACTATTTAGTGGAGACTCTTTCTTCCCCCACATACGCTTAAACTAAACTCCCTCTTGAAAACTTGTAAGCAAGTCACTCCATGCCTTTATCACCCCCTCATTTTAGGTAGCCAATATCTAAGTTGCCTGTCCCTATCTACCCTGTGTACAGAGGTGATAGCATTGATACTTGATGTGAAGACTCCTTCCCTCTCTCTTGGTATTTAGTTACTACCTCCATAGTAACCATAGATCAAGTTTATCAAATTGTAGCAATTTACCCTCATGTCCTTTATCAAAAATTATGTGTGTGTGTGTGTGTGTGTGTGTGTGTGTGTGTTTTATCTTCCTCTAGTTGAGTTCTGATTATCAAGCCATCGAAGGTAGGTCAAATGGGCACGATCTGCAAGTTTGAGTGTTCTTGTGTATCTCCCATCACTTCACATCAGCTGAATGCTTCACTTTCAGCTCTGACCCCCTGTGGCTATGTCCTTGTCCATGGGCTCAGGTGTCTCCAGGTCTCACCACACTTTAGACCAACCAGCCCTTCCTCTTCTTTCACTCATCTCAAGGTCAATAGGAGTCTATGGACTATGGTTGAACTCAGCCCATTTCTTCACTGCTGCCTTTCCCCCTCTTTCACTCACCAGTAAATCAATGTGGTTGCAAGCAAGCTTACATGCCTGCTTATGTGTTCTCTTTGAGTTTCAGTCTTAGAGGGGGTTTTGTCCAGAAGGAATTTGATTGCTTGCCTTGATGGCTTCCTGGCAAACAGCTTGCTTATTCTTGTAGTAACCAGTCCTACTGACATTTTTGTTTTGGGTTTTCCT